ATTTTTAGATAAGGCGCGAAAATGGAATACATTTCGGCTGATATGAATTTTTAATGGTTATGTATCTGTTTTCTTCGGATAGATCGAATAGCGAAAGAGAGAGAAAGAAAGAGAGAAAGTGAGCATTATGCGCAGTCGGTGTATACAAATGCCGCTTGAAAAAAAAAAGTTTTTCGCAATATTCTCGACGCTTTGAAAAATAAATAATATACATCGGACTCGGGCCGGCAGCCGTACAACAAGAGATACCGACGCAGAGAACATCGAGCGTCTCGCTCTCTCTCTCTCTCTCCCTCTCGGATGAACTCTCACCCCCTTTGACGGATGCACGTGTCAGTCGTTGTCAATCGGGCGATAAGAAGTGCGCATATATATGCAGTCGCTGCAGCTTGCAGCAGTCTATATGATGGTTTTATTTAATTTTCTCTCGGTGCGCGCGCGTCTATTTTCTTTTCTCATTGCCTTCAATTCTGAAGCGTCTGTCCGTGTACGAACGATTGGGTGCCATAACAAACTGTTATCTCTCTCTCCTTCTCTCTTGCTCTCTTTCTCTCTTATCTTGGAATGCTGTTTTACTGCGCGAGCTTTTTCGTACATGCCGGCAATCTGCATTTCATTTCAGTGCAAGCTATTTCTACATGACTCTCTTTTCATATTCTCTTTCGCTTTCGCGGAGGGCAAAGATTTTTTCTCTCTTACGAGCATTGATCGGCTGACGTTATTTCTCTCTCTCTCTTCCTCCCACTCTCGCGCATTCCGATATTGCCTGAGTCAATTTCTTTTTAAGAAAGACAGACGACTTTTATCAGCGTGAAAGAGAGAAAGCAAATGTTTGGAAAGTGAGTATAACACCCTCGCGCAAACACACAGACGCCGTAGAGCAATTTTAAGCTTTATCTACGGTATTTTACCCTCTTATGCTACTTCGCATTATCCGATACTGACTTCATACCTTTGGATTTTCGAGCTCGAATTTTTATTATTATCTTCAAATATGAATGAAAGATCGGATTATGTATTATCGCATTTTTTAGATGCAAGAGCTATTTTTTAATTAATTTATGCGTAATATACGCATTTCGTGAAAAAAAATTGAATCTACGCCAGCTATAAAAGCGAACTTTCAACAAAAACTTGATGATTTTTACAACGGCAGCAGAGTTCTCATAAAAAAGCTATGATTTTTTTCAGACACACGAACAGCAGAGCCACGTACATATATAAATATACATAGTTGGTAATGAAAAGTGAAATGAATGAAAAAAAGTTTAGCCAAGTGGGATAAGAAAGCTGAACAGAAGCTATGGAACAAGATCAGTGGAAATAAAAAAAGAGAAAAGAAAAAAAGAAAGAAATGAGTATAGAGAAGAGAGAGAGGAAAGAGGGGGCAAGAGAAATAAAGAGCCAAATCGTAGAAGAGTAGGCAAGGTTATAGTCCAGGGTGCCTTAATTTAAAAACTTGCTCAGTCGGCAATAGCCTGGCATCCGCGTGCGTTCGTGTTAAGTTTTCATTTAAGTGAAACGCTAGCCAGAAACATTTGCCAGAAATGGAATACTGTCATAAGAGAATAGCAATGGATAAGAGAGAGAGAGAGAGAGAGACAGAGAGGAGGACAGGATGATTATGTATGTCAGACTTGCTTTAGCCTGCAAGCTCCAGCTGTATATATTCGACTCGACAATCTCGCGGCGTGTTGCGAAGAGCGACTTTATGAAAATTTAACAGGTTAGACATTCTGTTCGTTTGTCTACTTGATAATCGCAAATCCATTTCACTCAAATTTATACGGATCGGTTATATATACGCCACGCTCAGCTTGCTTAAACGACTCGAAGGAAAAATTCGAATGCGGGCACGGAACGTCTCGATATAAATTATTTCTCGATGACATTATACCGACAGTAGGAAAAATTAACTCTCTATCTCGTCCTTCCGATTTGAATTTAAAGATCGAAGGTATAATAGAGCAGTTTTACACGAGCAAGCGCTAGGGTGCAAAATTTTCCTCTAGTTTTCCCTCTCGCTCTCTCTCTATCTCTCTATCGCCCCCTCGCTCTCCAATTCTCGCACTCCCTTTTGTCGCTCGCGCTTTAATCCGCACACGGCACTGGAATTTTATCCCCGAACTCGACGTTATTCTCTATTTCTTTCTTTTCTTGTATTTCTACATTGGCTCACCCTCTCGTTCTCTACGGTGCGGTGCACTTGAATTAGTTAAAGAGCCTATCGGAAAAACGACGCGACAGACCGGAACGAGCCAACTTTGAAACGTTCCTCTGGGGCATCTATATACATACATACACACATAAACGAGCATGTACGTATATATATATATATATATCGCGCGCTTAAGTGTATGCGAACACTCGTATGGGTGTGTGCGCGCACTAGGGCTTCTATACTTTTCGCAGTTTAAGCACGTTACTTAAACTGGCTGGGTAAGGCAACTATATGTTCACCCTAGGAAAACAACGAGCAAGAAGAGACCAGCTTCTAGCCGTGCTCGCGATATAGGATATGTATAAGGGCTAATCTTCAATGGAACTTGAAATAATTGAGTAACGAGTGAGGCTTTTATTCAGATTCTTTTCTCTCTCTCTCTCTCTCTCTCTCTCTCTCTCTGTATTTCTCGTTGTCTCTTCCAGCGTCCTGCCATCGAATTCGTCGAGACTTTTGTCAGAAAAGTTTCGCTCGATCACTACTTCATACATTATTCCTGAATTATTCATGATATTTCTTTTTCTCCCTGAAAGCTAAACGGCTGAAAGCTAAACGAATTGATAAATAACTTTTACACACTTACATACGGGCTAGGGTAGCAAGAAAGATTTTCGGGAACACAGGAACATTTCCAACTGACTCCTATAACGATGGCCGTCTAGGGTGGCTATATACTTAACTACAAATTACCGTTGTGTTGATCCCAGGCACAAGCGTCGTTTTATCAAATGAGTTATCACGCACGTAGATTTTTCACATTATTGACTGCTTCGCGAGCCGAGCCATTTTATTTTTGCTAGAGTGCAAGTAGGAAGAAATAGAGACGGACGAATCAACCGTTCTTCTCGTTATTCTCTATTTTATATTTTTCGAAATTTATTTTAACGTATTTTTGGAATTCCGGACGCTGTTAAATTTTATTTTTATTAAAATTCTGAAAATATACTTCGAGATGAATACGCATTTGAATAAATTGAATACAATTGCCGGACAATAAAAAAACTGACTTTTCGTGAAAAAAAGTTCTCTCCAAAACAATATAGTTTTGATGTTCGGTGCAATGCTTATCACGAGTGAATGTTTTAGAGAATAATAATAAATGAAGAAGGTATGTGTGTGCACGCTCGCAGGAAGAGTAAAAAAAATAATATAGAAAAAAAATCTGATATTTATATGCCACCCTTCGACTATGATGATTCTGGTACGGCAGCCAGTTTTTTTTATATCATCCTGATGCGCGAGTGAAAGAGCGAGAAGCGCGAGTTAACGCGTCAAAAAGATGAGCAGCATAGGACTCGAAGAGAGAAAGGCAGAAAAGGTGAAAATAATTTTACTGCGCGCGTGCGAGCGTATGTGGGTGCGCGTGCAAGTGTATGTATGGGAAGAAAATCACGACAAGAGGTTTGTGAGACCGCAAGCTCGCTGCTTTTCAAGCAGTGACAGTAAAAGCAGTGACATTGCGCGTAATATAACGTATAGTTATGGCTGTAGGAAAGGCGAGAGAGAAAGAGAGAGAGAGAGAGAGAGAGAGAGAGAGCAAGAGAGACACTCACATTATATCGCGAATGGGTAAATGTACATATATAAATTTATGAAAGTAGGTATGCATGTATGTATATGAGAGATCGCGTAGGCGAAAAGTAAAGTGTATAATACGTATAAGAGAGCCGCGGAGTTGCTAGCGCCAGGCTGGAAATTCACTTACCAAAATTCAGAGCGTCGACAATGTAAATTTGCATGATGAGGTCAGTTGGTTCCATATACACGCGTGTATACCTCGCACACATATCCGCACACATTCACGTTCACATATTTATACGTACTGTGAAAGAAAGAAGCATATCATCAAAACGAGGCCAAATGGAAAAAAAAGCCATGCAATAAGTGTGTGTATGGGCGAGCATCATAATGTGTATCTTTCAGGATGTATTATTTTCAAACAAGCTGCAAGCTCGTCTATGTATACGGTTTTTCTCTCTCGCAAATTTCAGGGTAGCATTTGTGATTAGAAACGTGGTGCGTGTATAAAATTTATTTTTACTTTGCAACTCAATGGGGAAAAGTATTTCTTTCTTTTTTATGGTATTTTTTTACGGTTGAGCGATGTGCGGCTAAATTAGTCGGTGGAAATCATTCAAGGGATTTAGAAGACATTCCAAAAATCAAATTTTCAATACAGATTTATGAAACTATTAGTGAATATTTCTCTAAAAAGTTCAGTGACGTCATTTAGAACATCACCAAAAAGCTTTTTAGAGAAGTACTCAATTGTAGATATTTCTATTAATTTTAAATTAATTAATTATTCTATTAATATTGAATTCTTTTGAAAAGTGATTTTTAAATTATGAGAAAACTATGGGAAACGAGCTAAATCCATAATTTTTTCATAATTTTTCCCCCATAATTTTACCACAGTTTTATTTCCACACGGGTTAGTAGAAGCTTCAGAAACCGAGATTCAAAATTTTATTTTTGAGCTGGCTTCACAATCTCCTCAATTTAGGAAGATCTTCATCTTTAGGGTCAGTCTTCGATTCAACGACATTATATGGCTAAAACTTGACTGACGAATAAGCCCTAGTTTGCGACTTATATTACTGGCATAAATATCATTGGATTCATAAAAAAGACTTTTTAATTTTAACTAGATCATACTGATTTTGATTGATGAAAATATTTGTATCAGAGCAAATAAAACGTTTTTTTAAATTAAACATGACACCATTTAATTAGCCACAATTTATTAGTCAATTATTAATAATTGATCTCTTTCTAGGACGTCAAAGAAGTTTTCAATACACTGGAAACATACCTAAACATCATGTGGCTCATGAAGTACTTCCAGGAGACGAGCAAGGTAAACTTTCAATATTTCTATTTTTTGAATAGTATATCGACTATGGTTTTTTTTCTAATTAGTTTGAGATGATTAACAAAATAAAATTTATAAATTTTCTAAGCGCCAGTGAAGAATAATATGTCGTCCCAAACTTTTGATCACGTTTCAGAAAATAACTTTACTGTAATTAAGTCAATATTTATTTGCGACCAAAAGTCATGCTCGAACAAGTTGACGTAGTAATAGCATCTTGTTTGATATCCATACATCCTGACGACGATCTTATCGATAGTTTATGAGAACCAACTGGCGTAGCATTATGAATTTACTAAAATGTTGATCTTGCCGGCGCGTCTCTGTACACACACGCTGACAATGATGCAGCGATCGAAAGGAGACGAGAGTTTTGCGATCGATGTCCTAAGCTAACAATAATCCAATTTCACAATCAATAACTCATCCGTTCCTCTCTCTTTCTCTCTTTCTAAATATATATTATATACGTACACGTTGTTCGCGCGCACACACACACACACACACATATACACAGAATTGCCAATTGAATATTCATTTAATTAAATAGCTAATCGGAGCGTGTATGAATCCTCTCTACACACTCGCGTGCGCTTTTGTTGAATAATTATGTACGCATTATATAAGATTCACAAGGTGTTTATGCAAATAGAACTTACCAATTAGACTATCTATCCTCGTCTCTCTCTCTCTTTTACATAATGAATCTTCTCTAAACGAACACGAGGTATACGTGAAACTATGGGATGGGTCAGCATGCCTTTCTCTAACTCACCGACACGCACCGCAACTCGTAGCCGAGAATATAACTTTTGGGTGCGGGGCGCAAGCACAAGGATCTAGTCGAAGTTGTTGAATGGAAAGCTCACTCGCCGAGTACAGGATGGACACGCGTCAACACACACACGCAGACACATATACTCTTGCCCAGTCAGATAAGCTTTTCTCATGAATATGAATGACTGGGATACGAGGGAATATATAAAATCATGGGTCTTTAATGCGTCGAAGATGAAAGAGAGATGGAGGGAGCGAGAGGGTGTGAGCGGGAGAGATCCTTGAGACGTGAGCTTGGTTGAAACCGCAAGTCGATGAAGTGCTACCGCTTGCCGCACACCCTCCCCTCGCTTGCTCGCGCCCTCACCTACACACATTCACCCACACATGCACACACACACACACACACACATACGTATACATAGCAAACGTCGCTTGTGTAAATACCAAGATGAGTGAGATATAATCGTTTTCCTTCTCTCTAGGCTACGCGCGCCCACGAGAAAGAGAGATGCAAACGCAGTTCAAAAACTGGTTTTAGGAGGAAGCGCAAGAGAGAACATGTTTACTCGAGCGAGATTGAGCATACGTATAATATATATCTACATTCTTGTTATTTGCAAGTGGTTGACTATTCGGCCCCCCCGTTTCGTCTTTCTCTTACACGCGTAATAGCAGTGGCAGCAGTGCAATCGTAGCAAAAGCTTCGCTGCGTGTAACCTTCCCCAGCTCACGAGCCGAGGGAAAAATTACTCGTGCCGCAGTACGCGTGGGTCGTAGATACATAGATGAGCTCGGAGATTCGTTATTACATACCTTTTTTTTTACGCATCGAGAGCTGTTTAGCACGGAAAGTAAAAGGCGTGTAATAATCCGCTTACAGTTTCGGCCCTTGAAAACTGCGGTACGCGCTACTTTGCGGTACTTTTCGCGCGCACTCGCACAACACACACACACACACATATACACATACACACGCATTATTTAATACATAATATAATTTATAAACATAGCCCGGCTCGCCGAGGCTTTAGTTGTCGCGCGGCTGGCGCAGCAGTAGCGTGCCCCGGGCAACTTTCCCCGAGTTTGGCATTAATGCTGCGTATCTAGTCTCGCGTACATGTGCGTATTATACGTATGTGTAGAGCCGCATGTGCACGCGTCGTTGGGCCCGCACATAACGCATCGATCGTCGTCGTTATGTATCAAAGGTCAAAAGTTCCTCCCTCTCTCTCTCGCTCATCGTGGCCAAGCCGAGCGCATTCATTATGTAGGTGAATCGCTTGATCAAGACAGATATACACGTCGTTGATATACATCTGTGTGTACAATCATTAGCGAATACAGCACGAGCTTGCACTACTCGCGCACAGCACGTGTATCGGTGTGTATCAGTGCGCATTGGCTTCATCGTCAAGTTTTGCACTCGTTAATTATATACTTCGTTCCCGTTGAACACTTGATACATCTCTTATTATTCTCTCAGCTCTACACACACATTTTTCAGCTCCCGCAACAAGCTCTACATTTTTGCCCTCTCTCTTTCACTCTCTCTTTCTCTCTCTCTCTTGTTTTGCAGCCTATACGTTCGGCTTCTTTTTTTTTACGTGTATATACTCGCTGCCGTGTATATCTATAGCAGGAGGGCAGGAGTAAATGCCATCGCCTTATATGCATTCTGCAGCTCAACCGGTATACATACGTTGTGCCTTCTCCTTGCTGCAGTAATAGCAGTAATTTTTCTAGCGTTAATTTCATGCAAAAACTTTTGCAGCAGCATAAAGCAGAGGTTCCACACACCGAGCTATTAGTCTTCCAAGCTAACGGCCCCGCGCACCTACACCTATACACGTATGTGTGTATGTAGAGCGCATAGCAGTGGGTTGGGTCGCGTGGCTTATGCATTATAGCTCGAGAGCCGGCTGTGGTCAGAGAAAGCAAGAGAGAGAGGGAGAGAGAAAAGCAACTATATATACACCGAGGCTAAAAGAGAAGAAGAAGAAAGCAAGGGACGGAGAGAGAGGGAGAGAGAAGAGAAATTGAAACGAAAGCGAGAGAAAAAATGGTCCGAGGGAACGAAAATATTTAACACGCTCTCTGCGCTGTGGTGCGGCGGCTGCAGTGGCAGCAGCAGCGGCGGCGGCGGCGGTACTCCTATGTGCTGGAGCTTTGTTGTGTTGCTATATCTGCAAGCTGACCTCGTGCGGCCGCAGCGTATTTGACCATTCGTATATAACGACGGCTTTTAAAAATAATCAAAAGTTCAGTCGACTTTTCACCCCTAGAATGCCATGAATACGGACTTCGTTTATTTGACAGACTAGACGTATCCATGCTTCGAATGTGTGTGTTTTTTTTTGTATTCCAGAGGCTAGCCCAAATGTGATTTGTCTAATTTGCACGTTGGTCGGTATTAACATGTATGCGACTGCTTTCCAGTGTAAAATTTAAATGTTGAAGTAGCTGAAGGCACTATACTGCATTATAGATGCCGAAAATTGAAAAGTTTCAGTGACGCGCTCACGCATCGTTTCATTATTCACCAAAAAAAAAAGGTAGTTCGACCCCGCGTGATATCAGACATGGTAGTAAAGCCAAATGTAAATACTCGCAAAGTTTTCATGTTGCAAAAAAAAAGTTGATTCCGCATCGATATTCTAAACGTTAGCCAACACTCTGGGAATACATGATAGATGGTCTTATGCGCAGCTTGGCGTCCCCCCACCGATGATGCCTGCGAAAAAAGTATAAAGTTCGCGCATGTGGGATCAGCTTGATACCTCTGGGGTTCAAGAATAGGTACGCTTTTAATGTGTTTTCTCAGATTTGCGTGCAAACATTTCTTATTCAGGCGTAAAATTCTCTTATAGACTTTTTCCATAGCGTTTTTAAATTTTCATGGATTTTCGACACCAGTTCCAATTTGCAACTCTCGCAGCTACCCTTACTTTCTCTTTCTCCCTCTCGAGTATTATTTTGATCGGCGTTAAAAAGTCGAAACAGGAATCTAAGCTTGATCCCGAAGAAAAGTTTTTTCCTACGATAGTTTCTGTATAGCAGATCCAGTGTACAGTTGTGTGTGGATGTGTGTGTGTGTGTGTGCGCGCATGCATGTGGAGGCTAAGGCGAGAAGTACGCAGTTTTACGATACGATGCTCTTCGAATAACATTACAGCTGCAATTTCATTTTCCACTTTTTTCTCGCTCTCTTTTTCCCTTTTTCTTTTTCTTACACTCTGGGAAATCGTTTTTTTGCGCTAGTTGGAATAGTGTCACTCTCGTTTTTTTACTTCTTTTCACTATTTCCATATGATCGTATTCTTAGTCGGGTAATTGTGAATTTTGTATGCGTAGATATACGTATACCGGGAGAACGGAAAATTTGCAAACTTTACGAGGCGATTATATTTTGCGATATATTTAATTGGATTATTTTATTTAATTTTGTATATTGCTATGAGAGCATTAAATGACGAATTTTATTTGATTTTCGTTGGATTTCATTAATTCATTCATATACATCGCATATGAAGTATTAATATTATTCATAAACGAAATTTCGTGTATGGAAAAAAATGCTCTCATTGTATTTTTGATCCAAATCCTTATCAGTATTACGTGCACGAGGGAAATTTTTTTTTTGCGAGGCCGGTCTAAAAAATGAAATATTTCATCCGTAAAAAATCTATTCGTATCACGTAAATACATACGTACTTTTTTTATTGCAAGTCATTCGAGTACATCAGCAAATATTTTCGTTAAGCATCTGATATTGGTCCCATCGTCGTATTTTTCAATTTCATCAGATACATATAGCATTGGTTGCCTTGCGCGCGTCCTCGACTTGTATACACACGGACAGACAGACAGACCTACGTAGACACTCACACATCCACATGTGATCATCGGAAAGGAAAAAACTGTCATATTGCTGTTGCTGCTATATCTTCATCTTCCTTATTCTCGGGTTCCTCAATCCGTTCACTAGCCTAGCTGGTAGTATTTTATTTTCCCTTTCTCTTTGCCCCCCTTCCTTACCCCCGGTCTACCTCGTCCCATACTCTTCTTTCTCTATACACCCGTGTCTTTTGTGCAAAGATTCACCGAGAGGAAGATATAAGAACCTCTGACCAAATCGATGGAACATTGAAATACTCGCGGTACAATTTTCTCTCGAACATTGCATCGCTATTTTCTCCCGAGTCTCCAAAAGAAGCAGCTGAGAAAACTCGCGAGTTTCCCCTCTTTCTTGTCTTCTTGTTTGAATGAGAAATCTTCGCATTCCAAACGTATCTTTTTTGTTCGTATATGTATTGCCGGGAGAATGCTAAGAATGGGGATAGAGAAATGGATAGAGACAAAAGAGCGATATTGCATTCGATTGATGGCAACTTCTCTCTTGTTGAGCGTGCGTAAAATGTCTTTCGTCGGTATTTACACAAATCCGGCAGTAAAAAGTTGTAATTAAAAAACACACGATTTTTGCGAAACGATAAATGTGACAAAGTAATCTCTAATAGTTGATATGATGTCTTCACTTCCACGATGATGTACTGCTACTATTTAGCTAAATTATACAAATAACTTAGTTTATTTTTATTATATATTTGCCGATTAAACTGCAGCTGGGTAATGTAGAAGTTTCCAGAACATTAATGCAATCAGTTTACTTGCTGCCTCTAGTATATGTACAGACATAAATGTTAGAATGTACACATATACACGCGCGCTGGGGCAGAAATGTCTTTGGTTCTCTGACACGTTAAAGTATACCTTACTGTACTCATACTCTTCGGGGTGGAAGATTGCGCCCAAGTCTGTAGCGAGCTTTGAAACGACAAAAAATCAAAAGAGAGAAAAAAGCAACAATAATAACAAAAAAATCGTGGTTTAGGATGAAAAAAGAGCGAAAGAGTAGGATAATAATAATAATAATAATAATAATAATGATAATAATAATAACGCACAACGAGCATAAGGGCGGGCTCACGTTGACGACAACGACGATGCCTTCTCAACAAAATTGAATGATAACCATTTGCCGACGCAACAGCTGTGTGTGTATGTATGTATGTATCCGCGTGCATAGTGCAGCGACGACACAGACACACAGGCGGAGCGAGCGAGTACACTCGACCTGCTTTTTCCTCGTCTCGCGTCACAGCGTGTCACAGCTCAGCTCTACGACGACGTCGTCGTCGTCCTTTGAGCAAACAAAAGCGTAGATGGGATGTAGATAGAGAAGGTAGAGGCAGAGAGAGAGAAGAGCGGGGTCACAAAGAATTTCCCCCCTGTTGGATTTCATTATAACGAGTGTAGGACTAAAATGCGCGAATACATTCGATAAGGTGAAAAGCTTATAGAATTGAGAAAATCAATCGCTTTTGAAAGTTTACCACCGATGGAGGATGGGTTAGTTTAGCGGGGGGAGGGGAGGGGTAGAAAAGTGACGTTTACGAGCGCGCAAAAAGGAGGTAAAAAGAGACTATTGCGAGAGGGAGAATGCTGAGTGTCAAGAGAAAGAGAGTGAGACGAGGGCAAGTTTGCAAAAAGGATAGAAGCTACAAGTGCGAGAGAGAGTGAGTGAGAGATGGACGCTTAACCGACTGTAAGGATAGTGTACACGCGCGAGAAGAGCAAGAGAGAGAGAGAGAGAGAGAGAGAGAGAGAGCGAGTAAGAAAACGTCGTAATTTACTTTAAGTCATCGGGTTAAGTCAGCTTTACAAGGCTCAACTCTTCTCTCTCGTCTACTTCGTCTTCCATTTGCTACTTCCGCCTCTATACTGCACCTGTATGTGTGCGCTTGTATGTGTATATAACACTAACGATGCTTTCATTCAATCTAGCTGGCAGAAGAAATGCACTCGCGCTGGCCACAAAATGATGGCTTCTCTCCACGTGATTCAGGGTCTTGCTCGCTCGGCAGTTATCTCGTTACGATTTAGTGGAATTTTACAGGCATAATTATGAGGCTTAAGGATGAAAAACGCAGCAACAACGGCCACAAAAACAACCCCAACTGTAGGAGAAAGTAACGGGATTTGTCATTCGAGCACGCGTTTATTTTCATTTGTATGTTCGCAGCATCTTACGTGTATATCAGCCGCCTCTATATTCTCGGGTGATAGTTAACGTCCGAGAGAGAAGTTTAATGTCCGTACGGTGATTAGATCCGCCGAATTTGCGTGCATATCCATTAAACGCGCGGCGTAGTATACAAGCCCAACAGACAGTCGTTACCCCGTGCACATCGTGCTATATACGTAGTCCGTGTAGGGCGCAGCTGGCAAGGATGTATCGCGCGCGCACTGGATACTCCTCCGCTGCAGAGACGTATCCTCGGCCGAGCTGTGTATGCGGTGTGCTTTGGAGAGCTCTGGGGGGAGAGAGAGAGAGAGAGAGAGAGAGCGAGCGAGTGGTCGGGATGAGAGGATAATACACGGGCCAGTGCGTGTATTTGTGTCTGTATACATACTCACCAAGAAGGCACTTGTAGCCGGCGATCCTCTACTTCCGCAAAGCTCTTCTTCATGCCAATTTAACAGAGCTTGCACTCGCAAGCTGCGCTCTGAACACCCACCGCATACTCGCTTATTAATATTATCATTATTCAAGGAAGCATGAATTTAATATAAATACGCACCGTATATCGCTCGAATGTATACCGATTTGCATTATTTACCTTGTTTTTTTTCTCCGTTTGTTCGCAGATTCGTCGCTGCCCATACTGGCCGAGCCGATACAGAACGTCACGATGAGCGTCGGCAGGGACGCGCTGTTGGCCTGCGTCGTTGACAATCTGCGCAATTACAAGGTATATACTGGCCCGCGCCCCCCCACGCACGCACACACGTATATTGTAGCGTTAAACACACGCTTGCTTCTATTACAGTTAATGTATTATCGCTGCATCAAAGCATGCCCCGGGACGCGCGCGCATATACTCGCACTGCCTATGTATGTATGTACAGCAGTGAGCGAACATAAATATATAGGTTGCTTTGATTATAATATATTAACATAATAATGTATACAATTCAACGACAGCTGCAGTGGCTGCAGCAGCGGCAATAGCTAGCTTCCAAATACGCACGATATTTCTCTTTCTCTCTCTCTCCCTCGAGCTTCTTTTTTTTTTTTTTTTTTTTTTTTTTTTTTTTTTTTTTTTTTTTTTTTTTTTTTTTTTTTTTTTTTTTTTTTTTTTTTTTTTTTTTTTTTTTTTTTTTTTTTTTTTTTTTTTTTTTTTTTTTTTTTTTTTTTTTTTTTTTTTTTTTTTTTTTTTTTTTTTTTTTTTTTTTTTTTTTTTTTTTTTTTTTTTTTTTTTTTTTTTTTTTTTTTTTTTTTTTTTTTTTTTTTTTTTTTTTTTTTTTTTTTTTTTTTTTTTTTTTTTTTTTTTTTTTTTTTTTTTTTTTTTTTTTTTTTTTTGTTTTGTTGTTGCGCCACGCCGCTGCGCTTTTCGACTTAATTAAGCCTCGTTAACGCCCTTTCGCCTTCGAATAATAAATGTTCATGCGTTGCGGGGGATAATGCGAATTTTTAGCGCATATCAGCCGAGCTACGCACGCGCGCACACACACACGTGTGCTCGCAGCGAGCTTGCGGCTTTCTTTTCACGCCATTCGGCTTAATAAATTTATTCAATTCTCTGGCGTGAAATTTCACACTTTAAAATTATACATGAACTAAACGAAAATATTTTATTTTTAATTGTATACGACGTTTGTTTGCGAATGAATATAAACTTTTTATGGCTTTTAACGTTTTCGTTTACTCGATCAATAAAGTAAAGTTTGATTTTTTTTAATATCAACATTTTTTTCAACGATGTAAATTTATTAAAAGTAGTTCATATAAACAATATTCTCAATATTGCTTTATTATCCTAAGACATAAAGAATCTCACCCAAGGGATCTTATATGAAAAGAGTAACAAGAGCTTTACATCGAGCGAAAAATGAAAATGAAAAAGGAATATATGAAAGGAGGCCAAGTCGCACAGTCGCAGTCGCGAGCAGCTTGGCAGTATATAATATTCATTATTCACGAAACGGTGTAAAACAATTTTCGCGCAAAAAAGTCTTCTAATGTTTCTCGCGCGCGCGGGGGCGCGTGGCAAGAAGCAAGAACCATAAAAAAATACTTTTTGCACACGCGCGCGCGCGAAAAAACCTCTTGCTCTCACGCTCGGGCATTCTTATATAAGAGCTTGAAATGTTTTTCTTCATCAGCGCCTTTCTACGTTATAAAATACTTCGTTTTTCTCATATATACTCGTCGTGCACTTTTAGCTCTGTTTCTGTCTTGAACCAAGAGTGCGAGAGAGCAAGAGAGAACCACGCGTTATGAAAAATAACAAGAGAAAATGATATTAAAAGCAGTGGCAGCAGAGCAGACGAAAGAGAAAAAAACAACACAGCCGTGTACACACACGAGACCAGTAGTATAGTCCTTTAACGCCTGAAAAGAGTGCTCGGGCTTTAGCACTATCAGACAGGTAAGTCACACCTGGCTATGCGCTAGGCATTGGAAAAAAATCTCATATTTTTTTTTTAACTCGACTAGAAGAGTGAGTGACTGCGAGTAAGTCAATGACTCTATGTGTATATATTTGAGTGCACTAGGGTAGCTGTGTGTGGGTGTGTGTGTGTGTGCGGGAGAAATTCCCAGAGCGAAGTACGACGACGGAATAACGTGAGGACATGCTCTGCGCGAGCGAGCGAGAAAGAGAAAGATCAAATGGGAATTACACCGCTTGCATTTGCGTGACTTATTCGGCGTGTCCTGAATACTCAAGAAAGCAGAGCAGCTATATATACGCGACGATGTAGCTAAGCTCTGGCACATACTTATACACTCCCGGACTGTATATATATGCCGGCATAAAAGACGGAATAAAAGCAGATGCTTCTGTGTATGTGTGTGTGAGATGGATATTGGGAAAACAGCTGCTGCAGCTCGGGCTATGAGATTTTACGGAATTCGATTTTCATTTGCTAACATCTTGTTATATTGATTCGATGCGAGCCGCAGATTGCTTTGCTCCTCTCATGGCTTTGCCCTCCTTTTTTGAATACGTACTTTAGCGCACGTACATAACCCGGATAATTCGAATCGATTTTGGGGGGGCAAGGAAATTAATTATGTTTATTCGGGGGCTTTTGCAGGTGGCCTGGGTGCGAGTCGACACGCAAACGATCCTCTCGATACACCACAACGTGATCACGCAGAACTCGCGCATATCCCTGTCGTACACGGACCACCGCACCTGGTACCTGCACATCAAGAACGTGCAGGAGGTCGATCGTGGCTGGTACATGTGCCAGGTCAATACCGATCCCATGAGGAGTCGCCAGGGATACCTGCAGGTCGTCGGTAAGTACTCTAACTGCGCTGCCACGCTGCTGTGCGTTAATGCCAGCTAGCTGCTAACGAGCCTTCGCGGACTCGTATTATATATAATTAACGCCTCGCCTTCTCTCTCTCTACGACACCTCAGTTCCACCGTCTTTCGTAACGAAGGAAACAAGCACGGACATGGTAGTGCGCGAGGCCTCCAATGTGACCCTCACCTGCAAAGCGACTGGATACCCGGAGCCCTACGTCATGTGGCAGCGCGAGGACGGAAAAAACATTCACTACAACGGCGAGAGCGGTAAGTTGCCTGACACGTATTCTATTCTGTGATGTCTGGTCGATCGGTCCGTGTCTCTCGAAAACGTGGGTGTGTCCATGATACTGTACTTGTGAATGTCGAGTTACCATTCCCGCGGCGTAAAAAAAGCTCTAAAAAGCTCTAATCTCACTTTTTTCAATTACAAAATATTATTGAATATGCAAGTTTTCATTGTTTGATAACATCTTTTTTCGAGCGTTTACCTTTATTTAATTGAAAATACGCATACTTTCGGATATTCGATGCAACAAAGAGCGTAATATTGCGTAGGTTGAAATTGATGATTAGAAAATTCTAATTCTTCTAATCACTGGTGTTATCTGCAATTCATTATCCAGCTCTGTGCGTGACTACGATTCATTGAGTTCGCTATAGCAAATCGCCCGAATGACCTATAATACACATTAATCCAATGACTCTCCATGAAGTATCGTGTCGAATCCAGCGCCATCGATACGCTCTACTGACAGATGACATAGCGCGAGCAACAAGTGCTGTAAATAGCTCCTCCAACTCCTTTCACGCATATTTCCGCGCCTGCACACACACCTGCGCGCGCGAGCTGCGTCTATCTGCAATAAAACGGTATTTTTTTTTCTCGTGGCAGCGCGTCTGTCAAGTGGCCGCGATAGCGCACGAATCGGTCAAAATCCAAATTATCGTCTCTCTTTTTGGATAAAGTCAATTTGTCATATAGCGAAAGGTATCGCCAAAGATATCGAAATATTTTCAAAGCGCTCTCCGGTACTACGCGCGCGACAAGCTGCGGTAATGCAGCAGACCGAAGCTCGAGAATGATGCATTCGACGGTGTATGATTCACGATTTTGCGGTGAGTTTTCGCGAAATTCGTATATATATCGCGATGTGTCATTTTGGCAATCAATTATTAGTCGCATTTCTCTGCACGCGCGCACTCATATACAGTGCGCTACGTGTACTATATAGTACGTTTCATGACGTCGAAATTCAATGCTGCGCGTAGCGTATAATTTATACCCAGTATACTAGCCAAGCGAGCCACATGGCTTCTCTCTTTCTCCGCTCTAGTATATCTAGCGAGCCTCTCTCTCTCTCTCTCTCTAAAGTAATTATTCAGTTACTAATGACGCGCTGTTCCCAGTACCGACACTACGTGGCCCGCCATGCGCAAACTCGCGACCTTTGACGTAAATATATATGTTTACATTTCTATGCGTTAGCCCGAAGATCGGGTGAGCTACATATAGCGTGGCCTGTATAGAATTTGTTAATTACTGCGATAGAAAAATTCACGTAATAGAGAGACGTTTTTAAAGGGAGCTATTTCGCCTGAATTTCCATTGGCTCATTTGAGCTTTCTTCGCTTTGTGAGAGAACAATCATAGCTCCGGGAGATATGAAATTACCATTTCGCTGATATTTTTGAGCTCTCGTGTCATACAACGACGAGCGTTGATATAGGCTTTTTTCAGTAGTAGAACTCATTAACTAACCGACGCGACGAGTCAAAGGTCAACTACGTTCATCTCGCTGTAAAAAAGCGCACGAGTTCCATCGTGTACAATTTTACAATCACATCAAATCTAACTTATTTCTTTTTGATTTATTCGTTCTCAGAGGTACGGCCATTATTATTTGATATAAGCGTGTATGTGCATGTATGGATGTAATACAGCGAGGGCTATATTCGTCTTGGTGGCCCTTCGGCGCGGAGTCGAGCCAAAGCCGAGGGATGAAAAGGATAACACGAGTTGAGAAATTGAAGAAAATATCGAATAAGAGCCGTTTAGAAAAAGCTTTCAAAACCCCGGCGCCGTGCACTGGACGCTCGCTCGGAGCCTCGCATTACCACTCGTGCTCTATATATACTGCCTGCGTGGCTCGTTCGTTCGCTCGCTCTCGCGCACCGCTCGTGTGTTGTTATACTTAGTAGAGTCCCAGTAGTACAGTACAAGGCCAACCAAGGAGCCCCGCAAGCATCCTTTTTCTCTCTCTCTCTTTCTTTTTCTCTAACACCATTATTGTAAAGCCTTTTTTATATATATGTATACGCTCTGATAGCCCTCTAGACATCCCAAAAGCTTTAGGTTTGAAATGAAGCTTTTTTCTATCTCTTGTAAAAGCTTCGTGCACGACTGTATGAGTATCTACGTGTGTGTGTGTGTTCTTCCTTCTATACAGGCTGTCGTGGCCTCTCGCGCCTTTTACTTTTATGACCTTTTTGCCTTGAAACGAGGACAACTATGACACTATATGTGAAGGAGAAAAAAAGATAATTAGAAAAAGGAGAAAATTATTCCGCATCGATCAGAGTATCGTATTAAGACTGTAGGCGTGCAATGTACGTGCATGTGCACGAATAATTGCTAATATAGCGGAGAGCAAGAGAAAGAAAAAGCGAATGTTTCGCGTTTCCATCAGTGGCAATATACACACACATAGAAAGAGAGAGACCGGTTCTTTCTTCTTTTTTTGCTGCTGCTGCTCTGTTCCATACATGTTTGAGTATGTGCAGAACGAATATAAGTGAACTCGAACGTAGCAGCGGCAGCAGCAGCCCCGACAAAAAAAAAGGAAAGAAGGCCAAAAAAAAGTTTTGCGCGTTCCACAGCTCTGGGCGATAATATATTGCCATTGCTCTGTACGCGGGCGTGGATTATTTTTTTTTTATTCCCCAAGAGCCATCGGTCTACCATTCTTCGGCTCACTTCATCTGCGTTTCGTATACCGGCTCTTCTGTCTCCCGCACGTCTATATTGTATATAAATATGTGCTCGCACCTATATACGCAGGTTCGACGCTCGACTCTAGAATGCACGAAGCGTGATGAAGTTTGGGACGTAACGCCTGCCGCCGTGTACGCGTATATATGCGAAAGTGCGTATTAATTGCGTTTGCATTCAAAGAGCTGTATAATACCGGGATAGGCGCCGAGGGCGCGGGACCACGCGCAGTACCTCCCGTGTGTAGGCGCATAAAAATACTCGCGCGCCGCGTGCAGTAGTACGTCTCACTCGGACTAGAGAGGCAATACAACATTTCACCAAGTCCACGAGCGAGTAAATTGCTGTGCACAGTTGGAAAATCGCGTAGCGACTCTCCCTCTTTCTCTCTCTCTCTCTGCGTACGGCCCTACTGGGACTACTACTTGATTAAAGCGCTATTTTCGCTTTCCAGAGCGTTGACGCGTTTCTCTCCTCTTTTTTCCTGATTTTTTTTTTGCTTTTTTTGCTTTTTGTCACATTTACACCGCAACAAAATTTGAATAAAATTGATCCTCGGCAGAACTCGCACCAGGAGTGAGCCATCTGCTTTATATACGCGTAACGTACCTATCATGTTAAAAGTATATACACAGTTGCGACTCCTGGCCTGCAACCAGATTTCCCAAATGATTGCGTACCGCGCAAAATCATTCGAGTGCAACAAAGGTCAGTGTTCGTACATGTACGTCTGTATGCGAATGCGCGCGTATAAGTTAGGGGACTCAATATATATTCCAGGAGAAAGAGAGCAGCCTATTTTATGTCATAAAAAATGGACTTTTTCGATGCGCTTTCCACGCGCTAAATTTTGATAAAAAATGCTCTGTGAAGCGATACATTTGTGATTCTGATCTCGATAATGCTATGTCGGGGCATTTTTGTCGGTTAACGCTCGACTCGTCAATGTAAGCGAGTACAGTTAGCATGGATACGCGTGCATGGATCGGCGACCATCAAATACTTTTAAAAGCGATTTTATCAAATATTGACTGTTGCTTCCCCTAGTTAACGCAGTTAATGGCGAAGTGCTACACATTACGAAAATTAGTCGACTACACATGGGAGCTTATTTGTGCATAGCTGCCAATGGCGTGCCACCAAAAGTCAGCACCAGAGTAATTTTGAAAGTACAGTGTAAGTGAAATTCCATGTTAGACTTATTTAGTATAACATTGATATAGATATCTGATGAAAATAATTCACTCGATCGATTCAATCGAATCTTTGATTCTAAAATTTTTAAAAAAATATAACTATTATTGTGGCGGAAATGAAACGGAGAAGAGGATGTGTAATTCTGTGAGCAAAACCAATCATTGAATTTTTAAACGATTTATTTCTAAATTAACGTAATGCAGAAACGATCTATATATTTTAATAGAAATTATCAAAATAAAGTAAAAAAAAAACAACCGAATAAATGGTCGTTTTGTTCCATTTGCTTTTATCTGCAGTTCCACCAATGTTATCAATACCAAATCAATTGGAAGGAGCTTACATTGGACAGGACGTAGTGCTTGAATGTCACAGTGAAGCTTATCCCGACTCAATAAATTATTGGACTACTGAACACGGTGACATGATAGTCTCTGGTAAATACGAGCACATTTCTGACAATCTGTAGTTGTTCCTTCTTTGTCTCTCAAATGAAGTTATCAATATTTTTTTTTCTTTCATCTATATTTGAATCTTCGAGTCCTATATAAAATTTGAAATCACTTCCATTTCCATTGTATACGAGATTTTTATTTCAAACAGGAAATTATCGTGCGGTTGTAGGCGATAAATATGAAGCGGTGTGCACCAAAAATGGATATAATCAGTATATGAAATTGAAAATTCGTAATGTTGGTCCAAAGGATTTCGGCACGTACAAATGCGTGGCACAAAATTCTCTTGGTGGTACAGATGGAGTCATTAAGCTGGATGGTGATTTGCCATTTTGTCCTTCATTCAAATCATAATTAAATTTTTATTTTTCATTACTCATACAGTATGTATAATTATAAATTTTCCAGAAATACCAGCTCCATCGACAACGACAGTAAATCCAAATCATGGAAACGCCAGAAAGGGCGGTGGGTTGCTACTTTTTTCCGTAATTCATAGCGTGTGGTGCTTAATTTTTATAATTGCTCATTTTATTTGAATTCAGGTAAAAACGGCAATCGGAAGCACAATCGACCGAATGATTACGAAGTCGAGGAGTGGCGCAACCCAGGTCAGTCCGCATAATATTCTGCATGCTCATTGGCCATGCAAATGAATGAAATAGTTCAATTTCTTACAATTATAGTTATGAAATTTTATATTATATCAATTAATACAAGTTAAGCTTGAATTCAAGCTCGTTTATTATATATATTATATAATTTGTATATAAGTTTGGAATCAATCAGTTGATTCTCATCGGCTATTAAAATGTTTTTATGAAGAAAATCTTCCATAATCATCGATTAATCAAATAATTCGATCAAAGTGGCTAATATTGTGAAAATTTTTGAAATTTATCTCACAGACTACAAACGTGAGCACGGTCTAACGGACGACGACGAGGAAAACGACGAGGATGACTCCGAGCAGCCATCGTCAGGTGCTCTGAGCATAGCGGCGAGCTCGTCGGGACCCGAACTGCTGGGCTCACTATTGTTGCTGCTGCTGTTGCGTCTGATCGAGCCAAGTGTCTACTGCAGATGATGATGAGCAGCGATTGTTGAGTTGTTATTCCGTCGAGGCCAAAATTGCATCATTCTCCGAGCGGTGAGACACTCAGTGTATAAAAAAAATTAATAAATGTGTGCGTGAAAGTGAGGAGCGCGTTAAATTTATTTTCATACCCAGGGTGCGAGAGAGTATATAGTGTATCAAACGCAGACAGTATTTATATAACAATAGTTACGTTGAAAAATATTTAATGCTCTCGTAATATGTGATAACGACACAAAAAAATGCTAAATGAATGAAATATAATTAAGGTAAACGAATAACGTGTACGAACATGATTATTTCATCGACGGTAAAAATATTATGAATGAAATTAATATATGAACATATAGAGATGCTTTAACGTTGTTTTCGTGTGATGGTTATACGTTCATATATAATTAAGCGGATGAATGTGAAATGTATTTTGTAGGCCAACTTTTATTGAAAACCAAATATAAATATATATTACGATAACGATATATATAACTGGAAAACCTTGATGGTAAGACGGTAGTCGATGTACAATACATTAAAGTTAGCTTGGAATTTACATTGCTCGATCGGCGAAATATGTTAATTTCGTTAATTTTACTCGTGTGTTGAGGAGTGATCGTAATTTGTTGAATTTAGAATGAACAATCGCACGTGAATATGTTATGTAAGTTTATAAATACCATTATTTCCGTTCGTTCTACTCGCGCAAGTAAATTATTTAGCAGTAACATGCCACAAGAAGATTTTTGGTGCAACAAAAGTTATTTTCATTCATTTTAAGAACTTGATAAACCGTTATTAATATGATTCATTATAATTTTTACATTTTCGTTACATACAAACGCACAAACTTTCCATTTTACGAAAATATATGGTTCTAAAATATTACAATACTTGACTTTGGTGAAATCCAACTACATTATGAGAAAACTAATTAATATGATTTTATTTTACTTATGCGGTGGAAAATAAATAAACGTAGATTGGAATAATTTCGATGTAGCTAATGACTAAATGATAGAGACACTGGATGTATTCATTGTTGGATGTGCCGAAAAGAAATATTGATCGTTCTCAAAACAATAACCGATGGCTAAAATGGCCTTAAAATGGCTATGAAAATTCCTGTATCTAGACTGAAACTAATTCTTTTTTAAATTCTGCTGCACATTCAAATATATTATTTTATATTGAATATTCAAAAGCTCATCAAAATATCATTTTTTAGAATGACTAATTTAAAACTTTTTGATGGTTTCACGTTAAATTAGTTTTAAATCAGATACAAAAAAAAGTATTAATCAATTTTGACCTAATTTATTGATAAAACCAAAGTTTTCTTTGAATCGAAATTTTTAAAGTTTCCTCTCGTGGTAACTGAAAAGACTTTCATTCCTTTTTTATACGTATTATGAATCTTTTTGTACTTGATGAAGAATCATTCTGCAGTTCATATTATATGCATTTATTTTTATAAATTCATAAAAAAGTACAACGATCAACTTAATACTTGTAGCTTTTAAGGGGGAACTTTTTTTAGCAATAATTTTTTGAAAGTGGAAGCAATGATTCAAAATGATTGAAAGTAATTAGTCATTTTATTTATGTTTTGAGATACATTTCCAAGTTGTTTCAATTTAAAATCTTTAAAAATGGTAAAATTATTAGGTATTGTTCATAGTGTGACCCGTCAGCGAAGTATGCGACTTGCTGTGCAAGTCGAAAATCTTCCCCTAATCAATCGATACATTTTTTCACATTTTGAACATATTTTTATTCGGTATGAACTTGTTTTGCAATTAAATTGTCTAAAATTGAAAAAATGAATAACATTTAAAACAATGCAATATTTTACGCTTTTTACACTTTTCTTGTTTTTGAAAAAAATATCTCTGACCATATTCCCACTTCAATAACAGTTCATATTGAAGGTGAATTTATAATGAACCAAAAAAACTTCAAAATTACACACCAAAAACTTCAATTTCAGATAAGCCATTTTTTAACTTTCTCTTAATAATCTCTATTTTTGATTTATTCAATAAAAAAACATGAATTTTTGAATCTCCCCCTTGAAATAATGCCGATTTTCATAACAAAATAAACGTGAGTAATGCTCAAAGAATATTGCGGATTGAAGTTACTCAGAAAACTAATACATAAAGAAACACACGTACAGTTGTAAACTGCGTATATGTACAATAACATTCATTTCAACTTCCTTCAAACGGCATTTATGCACGCGAGTATACATAACGATTTATCGATCGGTTAAAAGAAAAAAAAACTGCCACAAGTAAAGCCTTACAAGACTCTATCGGTTAAATATTGTATTTTATACACCAACGGTCTCATCAGAGGTAACGTCGTGAAAATGCATGATTACTTTTTTTTCTCACGGAACCCATTCATTTCATGCTTATAGTGGGCCAGCAAAGATAATGATGTTCTCACATGGCTGCTAATATTAAATTTTCTTTTCTTCTCGAACTTGTTATCAAGCACGCTAAATTTAGATATTCGTATTTTAGTACAAATTCATAATACAAAATTTATAAGAACATTTTTAAATTACTCAAAATTTTTATCAAAATTATAAGATATTGTATAGAGCAAATTAAATTTTTTATACTGTAAATTATCTTCTAAAATTATGTTCTCAAAATTTCTCGTTTTCGTGATTACGTCCACTAATATGAAGTTTTATACTTTATCTCTAATGGCCAATTATTATTTACATTGTTAAATTTTTGATGAACCTGTACAATTTTTGATAAGTTCACCCGCTAGCAACGTCAGAAGGTAAGATCTGTTGATATTTTTGTTTGAGTAAATCAATAAAAAAATTAAGACTTATCAATGAGCATGAGTGAGAAATCGCTTTCAATGTAGTATGGGACATGCAAAACGCTTAAGCAAGTATTAATAGTTGTAAAGTAAAAAACGTATTTAACTATAAAAGTAACTAATGAAAATAAATAAATTTAATTTACCAATTAAACATGAGTATTTATACACACATATTCAGATACATATGTTCATTGTATGAACTGTCAAGCGAACTAAAATCCCTTTTTTTGTACAGTGCATTATTTTTCATTCAAGTAAACGTAACGTAAATCATGATCAAAATAAATTAAATACCAAAAAAATGGTTTTATTGTGCCAGTCAAAATCACAAAAGATTCAAAATTGTGTAATCATTAAACGTGTCAATCATATTTGTTCAATTAGCCTGTCAAGACCTATAATTTGGCTGTTGAGAATATTCAGAAAAAGCGAGCGTTATAAATTTTTAATAAAGTGTCTTCTCAATATCGTATGAACTATTGAAATGTTTATAACAACACATGATGAAAAGCAGTATAAATTTATTTCCTACATTACATTCACTGTCTGTAAATAAATCATTTTACATCAGAGTATTATTCCTACAAGCTATGGCTCAGGCTTATAGCAAAAATTATTTTTATGCATTTTATACTATGTATATAAATTGCACTTGTAAATTTTCAAAATGTTGCATGGGACTCGCATAAAGTTTACCATAAACTCATTTACTTGTTGCTGTAGGTTAGCTAAATATTGTAAAATATATTATGTGAAGAAAAAACTATTGAATAAAGCTATTACAAACGTTGGTGGAGTGGAAGTTATAAAAAACAAATGATAAAACTGTCGAGTTAATTTGTGGTTGATGTAGATGGGATGTTACCGTGAAAAGTGTATTAAATAGATAATGATTCGTTGTAATTATAATATGTCATATATACATACAAGAATAAGCAAATATAATACTATAAATATATATCAACGTGTTTTGAATTTTTATTTATCATATTTTTTTATTTATCAAGCTATAAAAATTACTTTATATAATCCTTTGAGTATCGCATTGATTTCTGGTAAGTATGAAGTTAAATTTAAGTGGATCTATTCTTTGTATCATAGAGTTATTCATCTGATCTTTTAAATTTATAATCAATTACAAACTAATTTTTTTCAGTACTAAATATGCCTTGATCGAGGGCAGACCTTTTATGTTTTATCCAAAACTAGGTTTGTAAACTTGATATTTGAAGCGCAAATTAATTTAAATAGTAACAGACCATTTCATAATCGTCGCATCAATAAATAATCGAGATAGGAAACGCGAAAATTAAAAAAAAGAATTTTTTAACACTGCGTGCGCGAAACACGGGTTTTCTAACCTTAATGCGTCAGAAAACCCTAGTTTCTCGCAAGCAGAGTTAAAAAATATCGTTTGCAACTAGTCCGCGAGGAAGTTGACTCACCCAGGAGTCTTTGCACCCTCGCTACGCTCGGCAGAAAACAACTGCTTCGCGCACTTGTTACAAAATATACTATTTCGCGTATAATGAGACGGAGATAACAGGATGAGTTTGAGTGCAGCAAGCTAATCTTAACCGAAAATTTCATTTTTATGATTGTCTAAAGATTCGAATAAAAATTGCCAAAAATTGTACGACCGATAGCGTAACTAACGGTTACATAGCATTATCTTAATTTACACAACTTTTTGTATCTCGATCAAGACTCGTACGAGTCAGGTTCGATACATAAGTGTGACCCCAAGCCAGAGGATAAGTATTCTATGTTACACCATGTGATATGTGAAATCCCGAACTTTCGTTGGAGACGGTGAAAAGTCACTTCCTTCAATTTCTCGATTAGTAGCTGTTCTTCGAATATGACTAGTAAACCGTGGTTCTTCTCGAATTTTCACTTTTTTTTTCATCTTTTAGATCCACCGAAAATATTTAACTGTTCAGATAACAAAGACATTTTATGAAAGAGTTTATTTTGGTCTCTGGAAGAACATATTACGATATTGGCTGATTCTAAAAAGATGAACAAATCTATTTTTGAATTTTATGTTAATTTTTAATTTTTAAGGGTTTTGAGGTTGTAGACATAATTTCTGATAATAACTTTAAATTTTTCAACAATTTTATACATGAAAAACCATTATTAAAAAATTTTTCTATGGTTCCCCTTTAAAGCAGAGTAACATTTAGAAAATGAAAAGCTAAATTTAAACCTCTGCAATTTCACGAGTAATGGACCGAGTGCATTAAAATTTTTGGAAATTAAATTTTTCAATAAACTTTGAAGGCATTATTGCTGGAATAAATTAATAAAATATTGCATTATGATATGAGTGCGTTAGTAATACTCTCTGGCACGGCGTAGCTTAGGGCCTGAGCGCAGCGAGAGTCCTAATAGCCGTGTCAGAAAGTGCTCCCTATGACAAGAGTATTATACGGACTTTTATAGTACTGTGCTAAGTTCACATTTATGCCTCCTTTTCCGATGCATAAATTTTACCTTCTAGTAGTGCGAAGTGAGGTTAGCGCACGAGCGTACCGATGCGAACGTCACGGTGTCAGAATGTGCAACTTATCGAAAAGCGTGCCATGATACTTGTATCGTAAATTAATACTAGAAATCTCTGTGCGCGCTACGCGCGCATGGAACTCTTATGAGTATGTAATTTAATATATGGAAATATTTTAAAAATAATAATCAATCAAGATATTATTAACTACAGAGGGCGTATATAGATGACACTAAAATATTTCTTGTACTTACACGAAGTTGGCTCTAAGAGGGTTCAATTCGATCTATAATCGCAATGGCTCTTATATTAATTAGATTTGAAGATTCATTTCGATATTAGTCCTTCTAGTATACATACAGTAGAGAGGGTTAAATTGACTTTTGTATTTTGAAATATCCACCATTTTTTGAATTAGCTTATATATTAAACGAAATAGTTTTTTGATATTTACTAATTCTCAATGCTCTATCTGTTGATTGAATCATAAATTCCATCATCAGAATATGATACTTTCGATTATGATAAAACTTGTTACAAAACTAAAGCTAAAATATTAATTTTAAAATGTTTGTACTATACATTATCAATTTCGCGATAGGTCAATTTTTACTACAATGTAACTTAGCATTTTTTTGATTAGCTATCACTTACGCACGCGTGGTCTTCATCATACTTGCTCTGCATCATTATGTGGGAGCTTCGCCCTTTGTCCATTTGCACACATGG